TGACTGAGTACCCAGCTGGGAGGATCTGCGCCCATGTTGCAGCGCTAGAGGTGGTTCTACCAGTTTCTTCCTCTGAAATATACTCTTCAGGTCCAAGTATTCATTGGTGGTCTACCTTCCAAGTACTAACCAGAGCTGACCTTGCTTAGCTTCTAAAATCAGACAGGATCTGGTACATTTAGGGTATTTAGGCCATGTAATGCCACAGGTTAGAATTTCAGATGCTTGGGGAATCACACACACATACACATACACACCCACATACTACCTAGTATTGTCAGAATGATCATCATGAAGTGTAGGGAGACACATGTATAGGATTTTTAAGTTCCACCAGAGCCCATAGTTCTATTCTCTAACTCATTTTTTTTCCAAATGAAACCTAAGAGGGTCCCCTTTGATAACAAAGATCCACAACTAATTGAGCATGTTCTTTATCAGCAAAAATGTCAAGATCCAGAGAAGCTGGAGAAGACCTATGCCTGTGATTGTAGGAAGCCTCTGACAGCTGGATCATTCTTAAATGCAATTGTTAATCCTAGCTAGAGTAAATTCATTAATTCAGTGGGAACTTGATAAATCAACACTTACATACATCCCATTGATTCAACGGGGTTACTTTAATTGGAACTCCCAGTTGAATTTAGGCCATGAATCCAGTTCAGTATAAGACAGCATCCAGTGTTTACTCTGGTGTAAGACATTTAATAATTGCATCTCTAAATTAATTTGTGGTGAGCTGTAAAAAGAATGACTCTGAAACATTATATCCCAATATTCCCCTTCAGGACTCCTCCTACAGTTCTCCTCCTCTCTACTTCATCTGTACAACATCCTCACTTCAACTATACAACAAGAATTGATTAATCCATAAGACTTTAGCAAACAGCTGTTATCTTTGGAAGGGAAGTTATGGGCAGAAATATATTACATCATCCACATCTCTACTGAATTACATGAAACCATAGACACAGTTTTGCTCAGCAACTTCTTCTGAAAAGGAAGTTGCTGGGAAAGCCTGTCATGATCCTGCCCTGTGTAATGTGGCCCCACACACTGTGACTGCTGCTGTCATCATAAATTTTTCTCTCTCTCCCTTTTTCTTGATACCAGAACTCCACAGCATTAGAGTTAACCTTTGGAGTTGATGAAGTACCTGGCGGCTCACATAACTCTGACAGATAGAGAAGGTGGCAAATGCTCAAAAGCTCTTGAGAGCAGAGGCACTTTAATCTGTCAGCGGGTGATCGTTAGGCTTATGGTGTGTGACATACTTGTGATCACAGCAACAGCTCCTGCTTAGAGTTGTTTGTCTGCCCTCTGGGGCAGCCATTTATAATTTGCATGGGGAATTCCAGATCAAATATTATTGAACTAATTTGAGGCAGGGGTTTTGTCATGGGCACGCATGGTGAAAGCTTCATTGCAAATGAGAAGATTTCCTGTGATTGTAGTTCAAGCTTTGTATCTAGTTAGTATTTGTTTCTTAATATGCTATTACTGTTTCTAAGGTACAGTAGCACTGGACTTCATAGTGACTTTGAGGGGATCCTCTCGTACATTCATATCTATGTGGTTACTAAATTACTAAGTAAGTTTCAGCTCACTTTTGTCCCCTGCCCCACAGTTGCTCCTGAATTTCCCTGATCAATAAACCTTTGTCCAGCTTAAAGGCAGTCTAACAACTAACACAAAATATGTTTCTCAGTTATAGATATCTCACATTTACAATTTCATTTCAAGGCTTTTTTTCCCATTTCTGTCAATGTGTGGATGCCCAGAAGATGCAGTCAATGGTATTCCCAACACCAGACTTGGGACTACAGACAGTAGCATTACATCTCATTCTATTGAAAGATTGTATGGGATATTCAGTTCTTATCAGAGTGATATGGTTTTAAGAGCATTCTGTGTTGCCCAGCTGTTAGCACTAGAAGAGTGGGATGTGCAAAGAATTATCTTCATAAGAAGAGGTCTTGCCTGCTAGAAGCCAGAATCCTAATGGTGTCTTATATACGAATAAATTGCCCTGTGGAGCCAGTGGGACATTTTGATCCAGTGCAGATTGTCTGTGCCCTATTCAAAGTTGCAGAAGCAGAGCTGTTCATGCAATGCCATTTTACATGCAGACATGCATACAGTGTGCACCAATGCACATCTGGGTGCACATGTACATTTGGTTGTGCCTTCAGACAAACATTCTGCCATCCATTCAGCATAAAGGCTGCATAGCATAATCAGTGCATAACTCCATGTGCAGAGATGTATTTTCAGCAATCACAGTAGCCAGCCTGAGTTTACTTTACACTCTCATAAGAGATGCTTAAACCTTGGACAAATATGCAGAGTCTGAACTTTGCATAATTTATACCTGTGCCATCCGCTTTGACTGGCATCAGTTCTCCAAGGTCTGAGGGAGAAGAAGCCTTCTTCTATTAGACTGATCTGCAATCATAATAAATTATTTATGAGGCTCATTCTCTGGTAATTCACTAACAAATGTTTAATATCATTTGAGATACTGAGATATTACTGATTAAATCTAATACCTTTTGAATTGATCCTGTGCCCCTTCTCTTTAGCAGATCTTTATAATTCCATATAATTGATTCCTTGTTGCTGTTATATGTGTTCAAGTCATTTCCCACTTATAGCTAAGGCCATATCATGGGGTTTTCTTGGAAAGATTTGTTCAGGAGGGGATTGCATTTGCCTTTCTCCAAGGCTGAGAGAGTGTGACTTGCCCAAGTTCACCCAGCTGGATTTCCATGGCTGAGCAGGAATTTGAACCCTGATCTTGAGAGTCATAGTCTAATGCTCAAACCACTACACTATGTTGGCTCAAATTCTAATTAAATCATTTTTTTCTGATAACAAAGATGTAATCCTTTTGTAGGTAGCTGTAATGTTTTAGCTTACTTTCAGAGATGGTGGACATTTGTCTCAATGTAGAAGAAGGAAAATCACATGGTTCCAGTATTGGCTTGTGCTGTGCTTTGTGCTATAGCATATTGCTCTTTTGTGAGTAGTGAGACAAACAGAAATTGGAAATTAGTTCTTCTTGTGCTAAAAGTCAACAGCTTGTAGCATACAAACTACTGTTCCTGAAAACAACTTGAAAATGTCCAGTTATTTTGAGGGCCTTGGAATAATAACATAACTGATTATTCATCTAAAAATTAACTTTTCAAACTCTGCTTTTTTCCCCCTGAAAAAGTTCCCTTCACAGTTTAGTTTTGCATTGGTTAAACAAGGCTCAGAGATATCATTGCAAATCCTAACATTTTCAGCTTTGTCCATACCATCTGGTTCTGATAGAGTTCAGACAGTCCAAAGGTTCTCCTATCCTACATTTTCTGCTCTTGCTTTATTCCTTCTTCATTTATACACTGCTTCTGTGATGGTGTCATGTTGAGTGGCAGTTGCCCTTTATTTCAGCAGTGCATGCACAGATTTTAGGGTGGGTTTTTTTTAATTAAAAAGGAGCTGTATGACAAGACTACAGAATAGGGATAGAATGAATTTTGAAAAATAAATTGAAAAACATTCAAAAACATGTTTCTCGAATACATAAATAATATTTTCTTTGCAGAAAATGCTGTTACGTCCACAGAAAATGTTGGTTTCTGTGCAAAAATACCATTTGGAAATATTTTCATAGAATGAGTCCAAGAGTGATAGTTTTTCAAGATTTTCTTGCACTGGAAAGAAAATCGCTAAAAGTAGTGTATATACTCATGTATAAGTCTAGAAATTTTAGTCAAAAAATAACCTCCAAAACTTTAGTGGACTTATCCAAGGGTCAATGTAAGTACTGTATTTTAAGTCATATTAAAAAAATGAACTGTCCTCTGGTGAAAGATATCCTGGAAACTCTGACCTCTCTCTATTCTCTCTTCCATCTAGCCTTAAGGTGAATGGAAACAGTTATGCCTACTTAAATTTTGTAAGTTCCTTGGCATTGTTTCCCTTCATCCTTTACATCTTTTGTTACAGGGCCCTAGGTTCTACCCCCAACTTATCCATGGGTCATATCAAAATCCATAGTTTTGGTCCCAAAACCTGCCCTCAAGTATATCGTCAAGTATATATAGTACTCCTTGATGAAATTATAAAAGTATTCCTTGCTTAAATTCATTAAGCATTATATCTTTACTACAGAATAATTACACCTGTGTATGAATAACCAGATCCTTGCAAATACTGAGTGAGGAGATCAAATGATGGATGAAGTTTTGAATGCTAATGCTAATGCTAATGCTAATAATAATAATAATAATAAAATTTATTTTTATCCCGCCCCTCTGTATAATGCAACTGGGATGGCTTACAACATTAAAATATACAATACATCCCACAATCCCACCCACCTCTTAAAATACTATTAAACAATAATGATTTAAAACACACTTAAAATGCTAATGCAAGTGAACAAATAAGCAATAACTACAGCAGAGTCGGGGAACATGTTGAGCTATCTTTTGATGGCCAGGGTACCTATTCAGGAGATCCATCTTAACAGCCTTTTTAAAGCTGTTTAAGGTGGTAACATGACGGATCTCATCCGGCAGGCCATTCCATAATCTGGGAGCGGTTGCCGAAAAGGTCCTCTGGACAGTTGCCAACAGTCTAGTTTTTATAGGCTGTAGTTGATTCCTCCCAGAAGACTGAGTGTGCAAGGTGAGTTATACGGGAGGAGGCGGTCCCAAAGATAGGTTGGACCCAAGCCATTTAAGGCTTTAAAGGTAATAGCCAACACTTTGTACTGGGCCTGGAAACTAATAGGCAACCAGTGAAATGATCTTAAAATTGGTATAATATGCTCTCTTCTTGATGTTCCCAAAACGAGTCTGGCTGCCATATTCTGTACTAGTTGAAGTTTCCAGACCAAGTATGAGGGTAGCCCCATGTAGAGCACATTACAGAAATCAAGATGAGAGGTTACCAACACATGCACCACAGGTTAAAGGTCCCTAACTTCCAGGAAAGGGCGCAGCTGGCGTATCAGCTGAAGCTAATTACAGGCACTCCTGACCGTTGCATTCACCTGATTTATCATCTGAAGCAACAGATTCAGGAGCACCCCCAGACTACAAACACAGTCCTTTGATGAGAGAGTGACCCCATCCAGGACTGGAGATTGCATCCCAATACCAGTTTTCAGGACTGCTACTGTAAATACCTCCATTTTATCTAGATTCAGTTTCAGTCTGTTTTTCCTCATCCAGTCCATTACTGCTTTAAGACAATAATTGAGAGGAGAGATGCCATGTGAAGTCAAAGCTGAAGACCGAGACATGGAAAAATATATCTGGGTGTCATCAGCATACTGATAACACCCAGCCCCATGTCTTTGGATGATCTCTTCCAACGGCTTCATATATATATTGAATAGCATCGGGGACAAGATGGTGCCTTGTGGGACACCACAAGTAAACTCTTTCTTTTCAGAGCAGCTGTCTCCAAGCATCACCCTCTGGAATCTGCTCAAGAGGAAGGAACGGAACCATTGCAGTGCAGTGCCTCCAATTCCTAACCTTCTCAGATGATCCAAGAGGATGTCATGATCTATTGAGAGGTCCAATAGCACCAACAGGGTCACACTATCCCTGTTGGTGCCCAGACAAAGGTCATCAGCTAAGGTGACCATGACAGTCTCAACTCCATATCCTGTTAAATGCATCACAGCAGGTATTTGTTGGGTTAAGTAATGGGTTCTGCACAGGCAGAACCTGTACCAGTTCCCTTACCACTCTAAACAGCTCTGCTGGACGGGACTCTGCAGATGTAATACATGCAGAGGAGAAAGATTCTGCGCTGCACGTATTGCCTCTCTATAGGAACAAACAAATTTCCTATGATGAGTCTTTTCCAATAAGAGTCAAGTTTTCCACCAGGTACACTCTAGTCGTTGTCCAACCCGCTTCATCTTCCTAAGCTCTTCTGTATACCATGGTTTACTATTAGAAGCAGTTGGAAAGGACATTTGGGAGTGACTGTGTCAATAACCTTGGCAAGATCGGTGTTCTAGGTATTAACCAAAGCTTTGACAGAATCACTGGTGTTACCAACCATTAAACCCTCTAAGGCTTTCTGGAATCCAATTGGTTCCATAAGCCTTCGAGGGCGGACCATTTTAATGGATCCACCATCCCCGGTGGGGTGGACAGTGGTTCTTAGTTCAACCATGGTCAGGAAATGATCTATCCATGACATTGCAGTGGTTTTAATAACCTCCGCCCACAGATATTCCTGTTCCGTACTGAAGATGGCATCGAGGGTGGGCCCGACGACCAATTGAGATAGGCCCTTGTTTGTCATGGATTCCAAGCCACACCTGTTAGATTTGACAAAGTGGTCTCGAGTGGAATATTGAAGTCGCCCAAAACTAGAAGTCTGGGCGACTCCAACAGCAGCTCTGAGATCTGCTGTGTCAGCTCAGTTAGGGAGGCTGCTAGACAACAGGGTGGACAGTATACTAACAGAATCCCCAAACTATCCTTAGTTCTCAGGCTTAGCTACATACACTTAAAGTGGACTGTGTTCCAGACAGCTATCCTCATCAAAGTGAGATTGTTCTTATGAACCAGAGCCACTCCTCCCTGCCCCCCCCCTGCCCACTTCCCCTTACCTGCTCACTGACAGAGTACCCAGCTGGGAGGGCTTGCGTCCAAGTTATAGCACTATCCTCTCCCAGCCAGGTCTCTGTAAAGCAAGCCAGGTTGGCATCCTCATCTAAGAGGAGGTCATAAACAATATGAGTCTTATTTTTAACCAACCTGGCATTGCAAAGGGTCAAGCTAAGGTTCTGTGGAATGATTGTTATGCTTTCCAGTCCATTCCCAGAAACAGAATGAAGACAGGATCACTTTCAAATATTGATCCTGCCTTCTTTTGCAACAACTCTTCACTCTTATTATTTCCATGAAAGACCTGATATGGTTTCACACATATCATCTGGCCTTCTATTGTGTCAGATACAATCATTATTAGATTGCCCTAGGTGCTTATATTGCACCTTGACTTGGACAGACTGGACTCTTACTGTTCTGACTCAAAACCAAAATATTTTGAGCCAACCCTGAGCCAACCTAAATGTTGATGGTGGTGGTCATGGTGATGACAATTACTGGTCACTGGATTTCCCCCCTTTCTCACACATATTTTAAACTTCAGTTTAAAATATGAATACATTTAAATCTAACATAAAATTAAGTAGATTTCCTATATTAATAGCCTTCTAGCAATAAAGTTTGAAAATATTTCAAAAGACTGTAAGTTGAGGGAACATCCTCAATTTCAATATCTCCTGCAATAATAATAATAATAATTTTTACCCTCTTTTAGGGGTGGTAAAGGGTGGGGATCCTAGCTTGTTTGAGAATGCTAGATGAAATAGAATATACTAATCATTATACTATTGGTTAAAATTAATAAGCTACTTTGCTTTAACTCAGATGTGAAGACATTGCTGATAAATAAAGTTATATTTGATGTTTTGTCTTGTTTCATTTCAAAGCAGTAAGGAAGCTTTGGTTACATTTAACTTCCTTGCAAGTCTTTGAACTTGTACCTTTAGTGAGGAGGAAAGATGAGAGAAAGGACTTCCCTGAATTTGTGAGTACTTCAAAGGCTTAAACTAAACATATAGGACAGATGCTTTCATCAACCTGAGGCATATCTCCTCTTCTCATCTTTAGCAGCACAATCATTCCTGTTTCCTACAAATAAGAAAGATAAGTGTGTGTGTAATGCCAGGATAAAACAAAAATGAATATTCAGTGTGATATCTTCCAGTTCAAGTGATGCTACATAGTGACTGACCTACAATATTGGGAGAG